TTGCAACAAGTTTGGCCTTATACCTTTCTATACTTCCATCTGCTTTATATTTGACTGTGTAAACCCATCTACATCCGACAGTCTCCTTGCCCTCAAGTAGATCCACAATCTCCCATGTTTGATTCTTAATTAAGGCTTCCATCTCTTCTTGCATAGTTGTTTATCACTCAGGTTTGGAGAGAGCCTCACTGACACCTTGGGTATAAACACATAGTCAAGAGAGGAAATGAAAGCATGGTAGGAAGGAGAAAGTCCACTATAGGATAAACCCATCTACATCCGACAGTCTCCTTGCCCTTAGGTAGATCCACAATCTTCCATGTTTGATTCTTAATTAAGGCTTTCATCTCTTCATGCATGGTTGTTTATCACTCAAGTTTGGAGAGAGCCTCACTGACACCCTTGGGTATAGATACAGAGTCAAGAGAGGAAAGAAAAGCACGGTAAGAAGGAGAAAGTCCACTGTAGGATAAATACTATGTAATACAATGAGCAGTACACTTTCTCTTCCCTTTTCTGAGAGCAATAGGAAGGTCCGAGTTATCTGTAATGGGATTAGTAGAATCAATGGGAACTGAAACAGTATAGGGATCAAGAGGAATACCTGAATCCGTGTCAGCTGAATCTGGAGTCTCCAAGGAACTGACAGGAAGTGATGTGAGTTTTGCTGCAGTGGAATCAACCTCCCTGTGAAGTCTCTACCGTGAGTAGCACTGAGAAGCAGGATGCAAGGGAGGTGGTAAGGTAGGTGACATAGGAGGATTGGACATAGGAGTATACATAGAAACTGGAACTGGAAGAGGGATAGACTGCTCACTCACTTCCCCAAAACACTCCCCTGAGAAGGATTCTTCGAGAAGAAGGATGTGGACTCAAAAAAGGTGACACCCATAGTAGCATATTGACTCCTAGAGATTGGATCATAGCAATAGTACCCTTTTTGATTTTCTGCATATCCAAGGAAGACACACTTCTTTGCCTTCGGATCAAGCTTCGAACGGTGAGGACCAAGAATATGTGCAAAGCAAATACACCCAAACACTCTGAGAGGAATATGGAACATCTCCCCCTCAGGAAAAAGGAGGTTGAATGGGGTGTTGAATCCAAGTATACGGGAGGGCACCCTGTTAATAAAAAAGATTGTTGTGAGAACTACATCACCCCAAAAACGAACTGGAACTGTAGATGTGATCATCATGCTTCTTGCAATCTCAACAATGTGCCTGTTCTTCCTCTCTGCCACATCATTTTGCTGTGGATTGTAGGAATAACTGCTCTGATGGACAACACCATATTCTAATAGATACAAAGCAAGATGTTTTTCAAAGTATTCCCTTACATTGTCTGATCTGAACACCTTTATTCGTATCCCAAACTGTGTTGGCACTATCTGATGAAATTGCCTTACCAAGGATGGTACCTCATTTCAAGATCTCATTAAGTAAATCCAAGAATATCGAGAAAAATCATCCACAAATAAGAGAAAATATCAATAACCGCCCATAGAGGGAACATGATAAGGTCCCCACACATTAGAATGAATAACATCAAAAGGAGATGAACATCTTTTATTACTAGTTTTAAAGGAATGTTTACAATGTTTTCCAAGTTGATAACCTTCACACTTCAGACTTGACAAATTAACAGACTCAAAAAGCTTTGGAAACAAGAAACTCAAAGAAGAAAAAGACAAATTACCTAAACGATTATGCCAAAGCATGATCTGACTCACAGACCTTGACTCACTATCCCTGCTGACATGATGACCCTAGTGAGTAGGAAGCACGTTTAGGAGGTAGATTCCATTCACTTCACGACCACTCCCAATCGTCCTCTTTGAATCCAGATCTTGCAAAATACAATGATCAAGATAAAAAATTATTGAACAGTTTAGGTTCTTAGTCAAGCTACTAACAGATAACAGGTTAGTACTCAATCTGGGAACATGAAGGACAGAGGAAAGGGAAATGGAATCATTAATCTTGAAAGTCCCCTTCCCAACAATTGGAACATGTGATCCATCAGCTGTGGAGACTTTGTCTCCGACAGAACAGACCTGGTAAGAGGAAAAGATAGTGGAACTTTGGGTCATGTGCTCTTAGGCTCCAGAATCTATAATCCAAGGAGGTCCCTCCTTACATGTAGTAGAAACATAATTTGCAGTGGCATGTGAACTACCTGTGTGAGCAAAGGAAGTAGTGTGTGCTCCACTAGAACTGCCTGTACCTGGTTGTTCACCTGTTACTGAATTAGAACTGTCTGTATCCCGTTGATTCAAGAACTGCCCATATCTCTCAAGTTCGGCCCTCACTGCAACAGCTGCAACAGACTCTTAGCTGTAGTGGGAGGGGCCAGTATGTCACTATTGACTGCCGTGTGAGCATTTCCCTTGTTTTTGAGTCTATTCGGCACCAGATGATGATGAAGTTTCTAACAAGTATCTCTTGTGTGTTTAGGCTTCTTACAGTAGTCACAAATCAAATCCTTTTTGTCTTCCTTCTTGATTTCACTGCCACCCCGGTCTCCACTTTGTTTAGGTCTCACAGTGCTAATCATGGCTGATTGATCAAAACTAGAAATTTTCATCATCACATTTCTCCTACTCTCTTCCCCTAACACAAAGGCATATTCTTGGGAGAGAGTAACATTGTCCCTGGAAAGAATATACTGTCTTGCAATATCATACTCGGGATTAAGGCCAACAAGAAATTCAAAAACCCTATACTACTCTAGGAGCTTCTAGTAGGCAGTTGCATCCTTTGTGGTTTCCCAAACAATTGTCTCCAGATGGTCAATCTCTTGCCACGGGGTTTTAAGGGCTGAAAAATAAACTGAAATAGGTCTATCTCCCTGTCTTGTAGCAATAATCTGATTTCTCAACTGATAAGTCCTAGCAACATTCTCCCTCTGTGAATAGGTTTTTGCAACCCCATCCCATATTTCCTTAACTATATTTGCTCACAAAAAAAATTTACTTATATGGGGCAGCATCGAATTACACAGCCAAGTCATCACCATATAGTTTTTCTATACCCATTGGGAGCTGTTAGTTTCGGTTTTCACTTCACCAGTGATATACCCTAACTTCCTACGAGCACCAATGGCCATCTTTGCAGATTGTGACCATTCTAAGTAATTTCAACCATCCAACTTAACTGTAGTAATGGTTCTAGCCTCGAAAAGGTCTCTGACAACTCCTCTCACTGGTTTCATTTCACTCTCGGGCTTGTTTTCAACTCCGTTACCCTTCATAATTATCAAAAAGGGGGTAGAAGGTTACTGTGATATGCAAGAATATCAAATAAATCACTTTTGGTACCAACAACACCCTTCTTGTGCCCTAGATAGTCCTTCCACAAAAGATTCCTTTTCTACGGGACGAGAGAAGAGGCAACCACTCTCTCCAAAAACCTCCAAAACAGGTAGGACTTGAACCGCCCCCTTAGAAAACTCCAAGGAACCCTAAAAAATTAGGGCGCCACTTCCTATGTCAAAATTGAAGAGTCTAACAGAAACAAGACTCTCCCCCTTTCTTTAGTTTCTCCTGATTTTGATGGGAAACCTTGGACCAACTATAGGGCAAAACAGATCCACCAAAAAATCCAAAAACTAGGTTTACCTGAGATCTTCGATCAACCTCTTAAATCACCATGTAGTCGGCCGATCTAGGGCTGCATGATAGAACAGCTCAAGGAACCTTCGGTCTGCTCTGATACCAAGTAGAAATCACTAATTGCAGTTTTTGATAAATTCCTTGTGAAGAGAAAGAAGAAGATGGAGAATTTCAGCAATAGAGAAGAAAAGAGAAGAAAAGGAGTAGGATGTTAACCAGAATTGAATTAGTTCTGGCCGCCAGCCCATCTTTGTATTATATACTCAACTTAAAAGAATAAGAGATTACAAGAATGCCCTTAATAGGGCGGCTACTTAAGTAGCTGAACAGTTACAACTTAAAAACATAAACTAATGGGCCTAAAGCCCAACAACTTCCTAACTTAACAACTTAAAAATAAGAAATAAATAACTGGGCCCAATAACTAGAAATCGGCCCAACTCAACATTTATAAATAAAAGGCATTGGCCCAGAACCTGCACTAGGCCAGGTCCAAGTTAGGGCTGTAGCCCTTAACACGGATGCTAAGTCTGGCCCATGATCACCCTTAGTCTGAATTACTCGTTCAGAATCTTCAGATGGATCTCAAGATCAGTGAATGTAATAATAGAAGCTTTGGATAGAAATGGATTTAAAAGAAAGGGATTTTTGTTGGGATGATGCTTTACCTGGATTGATCGTTAACTATTTCTTTCTACTTATGGTTATGTTTTGGCTTGCTGATTTCTTGCCTTTTGCTTTCTTTTGACAGTTTATGCTGCTTGTACTCTCCTTTTGACCCACAATTTCAAAGTAGTCTCAAATGATGGGATCTGCTATTGTCTCATGCTTAATAAAATTTATGCAGATGTTACTAACAAGAGAAGGAAGTGAATTAGTTTAATGATTCTTAGCTTGCAATGCCACTTGTCATGTGCATAAAGTTCAAATTTGAGATTATTGCTTCTTTTGCAGATGGATGATTCTTAATTTACAATTTCATTTGTCATGTGTGTACGGTTCAAGCTTGTCATTGCTTCTTTTTCAGATTTTCCAAGTTTGCTTTGATGCACCTACAAGTAATTCATTTGATCTTAAAATTATGCTAATGTCTGAACATATTACATGCTGAAGGCCATGAAGCATTGTTTGAATGATTCATTTTATATGCTTCATAAGGAAGGAGAGAAAAATTACATGAAATTCTTAGTTAACTATATATTTTCTATTCATCTTTCAATTAAAGGACAGCTTATTCACTAAGCTAAAGTTGCATTTTTTTCTTTATTTGCAATTGAACATTTTCGTTTTAGACCGACTGTCATTTCCTAATTTATCAATGAAATGCTTTCTTCTGAGAAATTATTACTGAACGCTTGAGCATTTATCAACTAACCTTTATTTGCAGATTGCTTCTGCACACTAAAGTTGATAGATGAATCATATCAAAGTCCTGGATTTACAGTAAATGTTTTTGCCGAAAGCATGGGAAAGCTGCCCCAAGTTCGGTCTTCTGGAGACATAATCCAATTTTGTCAAGTTGTGGTATTTACCGAGAGCTCATTTCCTACAGGCTGCAGTGCTATTTTATCTCTAGTTAGAACTTTTGCCAAAAGAAAGGTTCATCCCTGCCCTGTTAGTGTCTTGATCAGGATAAGGTGGATGTCCTGTCACATGTTAGATCTGGATCAGATATCAGGAGGCTTCTCCACGGATCCTGCCAGATTTTATAACCTATTATATTGTTTGAGATATATAAATACTAAGAGTGGTGGCAATGTCATTGTGAAGTCATCAAAGGGATATGTGAATCCCTTAAAGGCCCTTCTTTCTAGACATAAATTTTTTTACTTGTATATCTTAGTTTGGATTCCATGGTATTGTTCTATAACAGCTGATATTGTTAGTTATCTTGTCGTAATTACAAAAGGAATCTCAAAATTGGTGGCATGGCCTTTTCAGATTAAAGCACACCATGGGGAGGTCTATGCTCTTTTCAACAAGAAGTTCTCTTCATTTGCTCTATTTGAAGGAAAACCTAATGAAGACTTTACCCCATATCAAGTTTCTCTGAAATTTCATATGAGAGGTCTTGGCAAGGACTTTATAACATGCCTAAGAACATGGCTACTAGGTTTTCGATTTGATACAGGTATTTCATGGTTGCATCAACTACAGTTACTACTACTATTTCCTCCAGTTAGCTATTTTGAAGCATTACAATAAAATTTTGGATTAATAAACGAAGAGTTTAGTTCTATTGTTTGTGGTTGGATTCATGAACATATTTAAAATAATTATATTTGAAGTCTCTTGTTTTAGGTAATCTGACCTTTGTCTTTATCAATCACCTAGGTTGGCCTCTAAAAGTAGATTTGCTTGTTTTTTACCGATAAAAGAATTTATTAACTACTTTTAAGACTGGTGCATAATCTTCACTTAAGGGCCATTACCAATTACTAAGGTTCCATTTGGCAAGTCTTTTTTGAAAGATCTTCTAGAAGATCTGACACCCAAAAGACGTAGTGGGCTTTTACATAAAGATCTTGGCAGCCCACAGACTGTTTGGTTGGAGGTGTGCGTCTTTCCGCGCGAAGACGAGACGAAAAAAGTGGAAAAACTCCATTTGGAGTTTCTCGAAAATAGTCCGAAACGGGCTTCCTGCGTCTTTTCGGGGAGGAGTCTTTCGGCGGCTAGATCTTCCTCGGTTCCTCCAACCAAACGAGAAAAGACGAAAACACGGGCTGTCACGCTTCTAAACAGCCGACAGCTCGTGCGGAAAGATGCGCCAAACGGGGCCTAAATGATGGTTCTGGCTCTCTGAGGCCTTGGAAGGAGTAGAATGGACATTGGTATAACTATCCTTTTTCTTGTTTTATTTTTTTTGGCACACAATGGCTGCACTCAGACAGACTTCTCACTTTGCAGCCTGAGATTTTACTACTGGAGCTGCATTCTTCACATGAAATTCATTAATTTTCTTTTGTTTTCATTTTTTCCATATAGTATTTCTTTTTTTCCCATGATGATCTTAGTCCAAGCTGTTCTGGTTCAGGTGCTTACTTACAGACATCCATGGAATTCATTATCAGCATAATGATTCAATTAAATAATCTGTCCTTCCAACTAAATTATTCATTTGAGGGTTTGATAATGGAACTGGTATTATTATACTTTATAATTTTCTCCATGATGTAAAGCTTTACTGCTGTTTATACTTGTTAGGGACAAGGGAAACCATGTTGTTATTGAGAGAGATCCATGAAGGGCTACGCTTTGATTTGGTTTGCAAGGTAACTGGTTGTATTATCCTGGTTTTCTCTTTTGTGCTTGAAGAACTTTGCTACTGTCCACGAAGTGCCCATTTGGGAGGGCTTTCACACAGTGGCTTCTTGATTTGTGAAGTGGACCCCACATGGACAGCCTATAAGCTATGTTAGTTGAAAAAATCTGGAAAGCCTAAATGTGCTGCTGTTCAGCCAAAAATTGGCTTTTCGGTGAAGCTTCTTCAGAGCGGCTTAGTGAAAGCAGCTCAATCAAACCTTCAGCCCTCCCAAATGGGCCCTATAGAGAATGTACATGCTATTACATTTTAAAATATAGGAAATCTTGGTTTATTTATTTTTTCTTTCTTTTTATCTCATCTAGTAATGTTTGTATGATCAGATTCTTCACATCTGTGAATTATCCAAGGGGGAGTGGATGCTCTTTGTGTGGGATGGAACTGATACTCCTCCTTTATGTTTTGAAACAAAGTGCGTACTTAAAGATCTTTGTCTCTTTTTTATTACTGGCTCAGTTTTGTTTATGCTTGTAAGTGAATGCAATCTGTGGTACTGTTGATTGTATAATATACTGGCGGCTAAAGCTTCAAGCAAATGTGCCAGTAGTTTACCTTTTCTTCTCAAAGTTGTGTGAAGGTGCAGTGCTTGTCAAATTTATTGCATCAGAGTGATACAGCGATAGATTCTTCTGATGTCATAATTTAATTGAAAATTATAAGGATTGTTCTAAATTTTATTATTTATTGACTTATTTTATTTACTGTTTTGACCTACATTTTTTTCTTGATAAATAAAAGTAAAATTTATTGGAGTTGGAAAAAACAGAATAAATAAAGATGCCATCTCCAGAATAGGAGACATTCCCCAATCGCATCAGAATGACATTAATATATGAAAGAGATTAGCTGATGAACTTGACAGCTGTTTTATTACGGGATCTGAGACTAAGCATTTTGCTCCACACCAGCCACAAAGTGAATATGGTTGTTCACCATCATTCAATCTCTCACTTGCATTCATGGCTGGTATGGAGCAAAATAATTGGTCCAACAGAGAAACAGCTATCAAATTCAGCTAATTCTTTCTCCATTAAATCTACCTCTTGTTTTGCCAATATATCTGTCACGCTGTTGGCTGACCGATAAACTCACTGTGTTGATCTAGATATCGAGTAATGAACATTTCTAATTTCTATGTTGAAAAATAAACATCAAGAATTATACATGTGTTTTAAGCCCCAAATATGAAAAAAATTTAGATTTTTGGTTCTTTGATATTCTTTCAAGGGAGTGTCTTGGATCTGGGGATACAGGACCTGTAGATGGGTATGGATCCAAATGACCCATTGGATGGTTCTAGTTAAAAAAAAAATTGGCCACACTAAATATCAGCATAATTATATAATTTTTAACCATCTGATTTGGCCATTATTTGCAGAGTTTTCTATAAAAGAAAATGCATCTGACCATCCAATTAAATAGTGTAAAGTCATATGCTTATCTTCTTTTTATCCTGATTTAAGGCTCAGATACTCAGCTATTCTACCTAGGAATGCCTATCTGATGGTAGGTCATGGTCTTTTAATCATGGGAAGTAACAGGGGTTCAGATCTCTCTATGGTCCCCAACCTAAGATTTAAATTTTTTTTTTTTGGCTATTTAACTTGATGTTTTTGGTTGTAGCCATTGCAAGGAACCAATTGTCAACACCTAAAACTAGCTAGGGGGAAAAATGCATAAGCAAATAAAACCAACATAGGTATTAGCACTCATTTGTGATTAGGGGCTTAAGATTGTTTTTATGTGATTGTGTATGCATGTGCCCAAAGCCTTGATATTTATTGCACAAGATTGCTTGGGTCGCTCCTATGCTAGCTTAACTAGCCGAAGATGTTGCCTTGACTTGAAAAAATCTATTTACTATAAAAAGCCACACATCTAGAGTAAAGTTTCATTCTTATTGCCTCTGCAGTGCACAATTATTTTAAACCCAGATTGGAAGGCTGGTGCTTAAAAATTGGTTATCCTGAACATTTTATCTAGGCCGCATTGCTTTAGCTTGTTGAAGGATGAACTTCTTCCTTGGAATACTTTTGTCACGAATTTAATCTTGGTTTTTCAAGGTGGTTCTGGTTCAGAATGAGCAAACTTAACCCACTAACCAATTGTTATATTTTTTTGTAACCTTTGTGGTCCCTACCTGTATTTCCAAGATCCTGGTGTTCCAGGATGAACTCTTCAGTTTGTCAAACCGTGGTGCCAATGCAAATAATTTTATGTCTTTTGATCTCACTGTCACAATTGAATATTTCACATATAGGCAGATATCTAATTAGTTGCAAACTGGTGCTTCTTCAAACTTTTTTTTTGAAGGATCAGAAGAAAAACAGTAATCTCAAAATGCTGGTTGTCAAGTTGACAAACCAACAACATAACAGAAATACACTGAGAAAGGAAGAAAATTACAAGGATTCTTTTCCAAAGTGCTCCAACGACCCCTAAATTTCATAAAATTACAGCTCCCCTTGACAGCCCCTAAGCTTTAAGTTCCACTTAGTCACCTCACCTCCCTCTTCAACCCATACTTGTTATCAGTTAAACATCAACAGATTTCCAATTTTGTTTCTTAGAATAGAACCACCTTTGTTCAGACGCTTCAAAGCATATTCCTCACTATCTCCCTCTTCCCTCCCTCATACCCCTACTGTTCCAAACTCTTGTTGATCGTAAAATATTTAATTTGTGTTTCACACATAGATACTTCGAAATCAGTTCCATATCTTTAAAACATTTAAACTTTTTTAGTGTAAAATCTGCATCTGACACCTCTTGCATGCCATACCCTTGCTGTCTGTACAACTAAAATTAGAAAGCTCAATTTCTACACATCCAAAAAAAAGCCCGATTTCTATCTCCAAAAGAAAGAAGCAGATACTAATGTTATTCATGAACTGCAGGCTAGAAGATGAAGCAAAGAGCCCTCTTCCCTTACAATTGGAACCGTCACTTTTACCAAGAGACATTTTGAGTGCATTTCCTTGTGTTGGAACTGTCTTGAGGGTGACTGTTGACCAAGAAAATGAAAAGCTTGGCCTTCACTTATTAGATAGTGGCAGATGGGTGAAATTCATTAACATAATCTGCCAAGCACGCTCAGGATTGTGGCATGGTGTACTGATGCTTTTTACTAAGATCCGGCTTTTGGCCAATGAGGACACCATTGTAAAGCACCGTGAAGAGTAAATTGCTTCTTTTTATGTATTATAATGCATATTGTTATGTTCTCTGTTGCATTACTTTTTAACAACATCTGGTTCTGTAATTTATGCACTTTTTTGAATCAGGTTTTACAAAGAACGTGTATCATCTAAATTGGAATCTATGCCCTTGTCATGCTTTCCTGGGCCCTCTCATATCACAGGTTTTACATCATTGGCTATGATAGGGTTTACATTTTGGTCACTGTGAATGGCAATATGTTCTCTCTAGCATCTTGAGTCTTTGCTATTTGAACTATGAATATGTAGCTTCCACTTATGTCTAGTTTTTCTTTTTCAGAGACAGATTATGATGATGTGCGATTTGCTACATTAATGGAGGTTCTCACATATTCACAGGTCTCTTTTCTTTGCCTATAAATTGTGTTTGAGAGAGCAGACATTCCCCAACAGTTCAAGAGCCATATCTTCAGGCTTTTGGAGCTAGCATTATTTCTGTTTTTACATGTAGGTTAACAGATATTTGTATTGTATCAACTTACTGGCAATCTGTAAAATATTATTGGCTCCACATCTATTTAATTGTCTATTTTCATAGATGTTATCTTTGTAAAGGGAAATTTGGATTGCAATCTGCAAATGGATCAAATTGAATTGGATATACCTAGTTCTGAATTTAATTAGTTAATATTTAGATTCAAATCGAATCTCATCTATTGGATTTATATCAGATTCAGATCAAATTTGGATTGCAATCAGATAATGAGTAGCGTTAATAATTTAATTTAAAAAATCAAAATGTATTATTAATAAAATGAACTAAAAATGATCTTGATTTTTTAAATCATGAACAAAATGAATTGAAAAATAGCTAGTATGAAACTTGAACCTATGACTTTTTAGTAATCATTGATAAATACAACATTTAAACTAATTTTAAGTAATCATTGATACAGCTTAAGTTTTAAGTATATATAGGCATATGTATTTACATTGAACAGAATCAGATTGATTTAATAGGGCTGGGTGTGTCTTACAGGTTACAGTTTCTGTAGAATGGAAACACAAATTTCTCATGCTTGGGTGTGTCTTACAGGTTACAGCCAAATTCAAATGTATTGTTCGCATTGTAGCAACCTATCCTTGGCAGATTGAGGACTTCCGTTCTCCTCTAGGGATTTATAGGATGAGGTTGACCCTAGAGGATCCAACTGCAAGAATACATGCTTATGTGTATGCTGAAGATGGGGTAAGCCTTCCTTGATGGTACTTCATTCTAGATACCATGTGGTACGATGAGAATCAAGCTTTTGCTAAAAAAAAATGGTCACATTATTATTGATTCACCATCATCCATCTCTGTGCCCTGTTTTGGTCATGGTTATAAAATTTGCAAGTTCTTTTATAGAATGAAGTTAAAAAAAACTGTTTTTTTGTTTTTGTAAGAGAAGGTAAAGTATAATTGTATTAAAACAAAAAAAAGGTCCTTTGTACAATGAGAAGCTTTCAAAGACCTAAAAAAAGGCCATCCTCAAAAAAGTACAATCAAGTATTATCATCTTTAAAAACAGTATGTATAGACAACCAACTTCTAATAACCCCTAATGCCGAATTAATGACCTTGGCTTCAGAAGAAGCTGTGTACTATAAAATACTGTTGCTTCTTTCCAACCTGCTAACCCACAGAATTGCCAACGGAATGGAGGACCAGTTATAAAGGAGGAACCCCTACAAGTTATAAAGGAGGAAGCTTGTCGCTATACAGATGCTCCAAATACACACCAAATTTAGCTAGGCCATCTGCAGTATGGTTGTGTTCCCTAGGAATCCAAACTAAGTTAACATTCAAACCATCCAAAGAATCCCAAGTTTCAGTCAGATAGTGATACAGACTCCAAGGGCCCCCTTTTTTGTCTCTTAACCAATTTATCGTATTTGCTGAATCACCTGCAATGATCAAATTCTGAATTCCCAAATTCTTTATTATCCCGATTCCGGTGAGAGCAGCCATCACTCCAGCCTTTGTGGAGTTGGCCCAACCGATTGGACCACTAAAAGTCCAGCAGATATTACCCCTTTCGTCCCTTACTGTACCACCAATACCTGCAAGGCCCGGATTGCCTAAGGCACAACCGTCAAAATTAAGGGTTATCACACCTTCACTGATGGATATGGGATGCCTCAAGGGAGTTTGCTGGGGATGAGGCAGAAACAGAAAGGGGTGAATATCTCTGAAAATATCATTGACTGAAAGTCCTTTAAACAGAGCTGAATTCACCGACCAAAGGATGCAAAGATAGGTAATATCTGAGATTAACTCCTCTAAGGTTCTGCTTTTATTGTCAAAGATACGGATGTTTCTTTCATCCCAAACGCCCCACATTACTGCATGAGGCACTGATTGCCAAAAGACTTTACCCCTTTTGCTAAGCC